CACCCCCACAGTAAAATCATTATAAAAAAAGGAGGAAAAGATCATTATACATCAACATTTCATAAAACCTCTCTTAAAACAATGCCAAAGAATAACCAATACCGACTTTTTTCCAGTCCATTCCACATAAAATCCTTCATTAGCACTCAATTATTAAATATATACTATTATAATAAACATATACCTGGAAATCAAAGGTTTCGTCACAGTTGAAGACCAAGACAAAACGTCCCAGCTGGTTGCCCAAAGCCTTCACAGACTCAGTCTTTCCAGTACCAGCAGGTCCTGCATGAGACAAAATACACTTGTTTAATTTTGTTTTCAGTAACGTTTCACAGCGTTTGTGCAACACAATAAGGTCACAAAAGAGCCGAAGATCAGAAGTGATACAAGAAAGGGACAAACACAAAAAAGGAGGAGGAGAGATAAGCATAATAGATGTTTGATAGAAAAGAATGAGAAAACCACACCACAGCACCCTTCAACCACCCACAGATAAAATACAACATGAATGAATGAATGAATGAATGAAAATCCTTAAACATCTTAACATTCATTTTTTTAAATGTTATTCCAGGTAACCATTTGTATAAAATTCTCAAAAGAGGTCTAAGGAACCCACCAAAAGGAGACCCTCCGAGCCTGGCCTCCAGGGCTTGTGTCATGGTCAGGTAACAGCGATCAGTCAGCGGTGTCTGGACCAGTTTGTCCTGGACACCCAAGTACTCAAAGCCGTAGTTGAACTTGGCGTTTGCCATCTGCCAGAATTAAGGATAACAGATACAGCACTGGGCTATACAAGAGTATGACACTTGAGAACAATTTATAATTACATTTTATAGGAGGATACATTGTTTCGAGCAACAACTCATTGCAATATTCTTATGAATTTTCTTTGAATAATAATTAACAAAATAAAATATATTTCTCTGAGATCTAAAAAGCAACATCCCATTACAGTATCTACAGTTAGCTTTGACCGATATACAAGTAGGTTGGATCATTCAGGCTTTCTGCCTAAATATGTTTGCCGTGGTCAAAGTGGGGGGAAACAAGATTTTTTTCTAGGAAGCACCAACTACTCTACTTAGCTTCAAGCAGCAAAAATTTATTACGAAAAAGTTGAATTCACATATTTCATGTGACACGAACATGATTTGCATCTGAAAGCCTTAAAAACCTAATGACTGACACATGCGGCTGCAAAGAAAAACACCCAGAAAAAGTACAATATTCGTAGTGCAGAACAAGTAAGTCAGAAAGCCTGTACGGTACGAATGATAAGCAGAGCAAAACGTTAATGTAAATCCCCAAGTCCAACATAAACTAGAACAGAAAATCCAGAAAGCTATACATTTCCAGAAAGATTTAAAAGCTCACAAAAAGCACGACCTTAAAGGAAACTAATTCCACTTGAAAAAAAAAGAACCTCTGCAGAGGTACATTCACACACACAAATCAAAACAAGCACCTGAATAGACAGCTGCTGCAGGACTTCAGTGTTCTTTGGATCAAAGTAGAACCTCATCTGACACAACCAGTCAAAGGACTTGGGGTTGTTCACTTTGTTCTTCACCATGGTCCTGGTGACTCCACGCTGGTGGACGAGCTCTGTGATCTGTACAGACATGAGGAAACATCTAGGAAAAGGTTAAACAAACCTTGTTACCCAAATAGCTTAGCCATAGGTACAAGCATCCCACCCTTATGAAAAAAGAGCTCGATTTGGAACTGTAGATTTAATGGCTACAATTCTTGTAGTGTCACAAAGTGTTTTTCATCCATTGTGAAAGACACTTTATCAGAAGTTCCATGGCCACCAGTCATACATGCTCCCACAGCGATACTCTTGAAACTATCATGAAAGAACAAACTCTTCATATTCACTTTCAAAATACAACTAACGGGATCCAAGTGGAAAATTGCACAACAAAAGGGGGGAGTTGGAATTGCCTTATATATGTATGCGTGTTGAAGAAGGGTGTAAGTTGCCCAAAATGTCCAGCTGTAATGTTCTAATGTGAGGGTTTTCAACTACCTTTTTCCTCAGTTTTTCCAAGTTATTGGACCTCCTGCTGCTTTAATACTTATTCATATATGATTTTTTTTTTTTTACAACGGACTAAAAGCATTTGCGATTAATCACTTGAATCTCTTGACACTAGGTATTCTTTTCAACCATGGAGGCTAACAAGTTAGAAACATCAGTGACTTTTCTGAGCACTATGCAAAGTAAAAATTTGAAAGCACATACCAAACTCTCCAGCTTCTTGCGCCTGACCGGAGGCTGCTCAACCAGCACAGAGTCTGCCAATACGTTGAGAGTGGAGTCCACGAGCTTCAACACTTCCACAACAGGCGCATTGTCTCCACCCTTGCTGGCTGCAGTCTGCAGGGCATTCTCCATGTTCTCAGACCAGAAGATCTGGACTGCCAACACCACCAATTGAGCCTTGAAAGAAAAACGAGGACAAAGAAAAAAAGTCAGAAATAAAACATACACGTAATTTAGTCTAATTGTGAGTTAATTAATCTATTGATCATTTATCAAGCCAAGGCAAGGCTCCTTCCTCACGCTAGATTAACTTTTATACAAAAGTCTAGATTCAATTAACTGCATAATCCCAGACGTGGAATGACCCTGCATTTTATTTATTACTCATCTAATGAACTGACAATTTTATGCACCTTTCATTACGAATATGGAACTTTTAAAAAAGAAAATTCTACATAAAAAGTAAAATAAAATAGCTTGGGATTGTAAACAGGTTGCAAGTTTCACAAAAAGTTGGAACGCAGGGTAATAGATTAGCACAAAGAAATGTAAAACGTCACAGGCTGTTCTCACCTGATATTTATCCACCCAGGCCATGAACTTGGCATGCTCGATCTCGCCAGTCCTGAAAGCTGACATGTCCTGGATGGCATTGGCCAGGAGCTTGGCCAGAGTCACCCTCATCTCTTTCTCCACCAGGGTGAGCCACTCATTGATTTTCGGGTGAGCAGCGATGGACACAGGGGTAGCAAACACGACCTGAGGGGGCAAACACAAGGGTCAAGGTGATCATATGAACACATTAACAGTCATTACATGGCGAAAAAGAATAAGACTAAACCAAAACAACAGGGAAAGAAAAGAAGAACCTACCAATGGTGTCCTCCAACTATCCACTAGGGTCAAGGTGAGTTGGAGGGTCATGCGAGTTGGGATTGTAAACAGCCATGGTTTGACAGGAACAAATAACGAGAGCAGTAATGCACAAATGCATGGGAGTAAGATGCCATTGCAAACCATAACATCTTCAGCAATTTTAAGACTCTAAGACAAACATGGTCAACCAAGAATTTTTAAAAGTCACAAGTCAATGGTCCTTAACTTTTTTTTTTTAAACGAAAAAGCATGAACTAGCAAAAAGTAATCTACTTTTATTAGTGGGTTGATGGCCATAAAAACCATGTGTCCATAATAGCACAAAGCAAGGATTTTCAGCAAATAAACAAGGAATTTCAGAGAATCTGTAGAATTTTAAAGAATTTTTCCCATGACTGAGAAAACTAGTCAGCTGCACAGAATTTCTAACCAGGAACAGAAATATGAAAAGCCATTTTCCTCTTTTTCCCCAGTGTAATGACTCTTAGACATTGATGACCTAATTTTCATATAAAACTTCAGTCCTCATTTTACTTATAGGTAGACAAAAAACATGTAATAAAAAGAAAGCACATCTCACTTCTTCCCCTTCTTTTGATGTGAGTCCAGTCACATGGGAATCATCTTCATTGAGAATGATGGAGGCAACGCCAGCAAACATCTTCTTAAAGTGCTTCTGGAGACGAGGAATGTTCTTGCTGTTACCAATGATCTCAAGCAGATCTTCATCTCCCACAAAGTAGAACCTGTGTAACAAAGTAAACACAAAGCAAACCATCATTACGGAGACAAATTAATATTGATATTTTTATAAACTTGCTAGCAATCTATATATTACACATAGTAAAGACATTTCAGCATTTTGTTTTATCCCATCTCGGTCTCTTACTCTTCCTACACAATACCATGCTACAAATGAACCCATAACTTGATCCTAGGCACAAAAAGATAAAAGGCAGACTTTTTTCCTTTGGGAAATAAGCTCTTCTTGAACTCCTACACAGTTGAAAACTAATCATAAGTACCAAATTGGGTTGACACGAAGAATTATTGAGAAACTAAAAAGAATCAAAACTTTATATTTCTGCGAGTCTCAATACTCAAGTTTCCACGACAGACTGGAAAACATAGTAAAACGTATCGTCAGGGCAAACTTAATTTACAAGACTGCTCTCTTTTCAGCCAGCCCTGAGAATCTCTTCTCCTGACCACACACAGCAACGAGTAACGGTGATGGCTAATGCAATCAAAGCTTTCAAAATATGAATACCTGGGGAAGGAGGCTCTTTCTCTTTCCAGATATTCACCAAGAGCCTTCTGGATCTTGCCCAACAAGTCTGCCAGTCTTTCCAACTGACGCTGCACGTTTGGTATGTTGAGGACATCGATCACCAAGGGTGACTTGGCCACTTTCTTCATGAGTCCCAAGAACTCTGTGCTCACTCTATATGAAACAAAGAAAACAAAAGGGGTCAAGTTTCATGACATTCAGTATATGATTTTGTGCTTATGAGACAAAATAAAAAAATCAACATATGTCAATTTTTTTGTACATCAATACACTCAAGCTTAATCTTCTGCAAACATAAGAACTATTTCACACTATAAAGCTTTACTCTAAATTATATCTCAAGCCTACAACATTGTTAAATTTAAAAAATATCTGCCACAGAAAGACACCAACAAAACTTTCCCCTTAGTTTTAACAAAGTAAATATTACATATATTTCAGTTTTTATAATCACTGCATACATAACAAAACAAACAAAAAATCTGAAAAAAAACTAGAGAACAACATACCCTTGGAAGCGAGAAGTCTCCACTTGCAGCAGATGCTTGATGTCAGCGCTGCCAGTGAAGATACCCTCCAAGTAGACCCATCTTCTCTGAACATCAATCCAGACATCGAACAAGGAGTTGATGCGGTTCAGCTTGTCCTCCCATGCCAGAGCCTCTTCTTCAAATTGCTAAACATAGAGAAGACAGCCCAATAAATCATCACACATTTACAGGTACACAATGATCTTACAAACAAACCAAAAAACCTACAAGAACTACACATACATTGTAACAAACATTATCTCTCTAAAAAAACAAAAAAACTATAACCCCCCCCCCCCCCACAAACAATATTAAAAAATTGTATTTATATACAAAATCTGGGTCATTGTTCTGATACATATTTATCTCTACAGACCACTATCATAGAACAACATTTCAGAATGAAGACATGAAAAAATGTACCACACAGACATCTGTAATAATAAACATGCAGTGAACATCTCAACAGAGAGCTAGTCATGCAAAACAACTACCAATAAAATGAACATTCTCTTAGTGCTTGTGAGCCTACTCAATAATAATTTACTAGCATTTCATGTCACTTTGCATTTTAGTTTCATACTCATAACAATAACTTTGACGGATAAAAAAAACCTAGGTAGCACAACACATCTTAATGTGCATCTGTATATAATATTTTAAAATAAAACTACTGCTCACAATGTAATGATATCTTAAGGAGGGTGAAATCTCTTACCTTGTAGTAGGGTGAGAGCTTCATGGCCGTGACGCTGTTAATGTGCTCCTTGACCTTGGTGAACAGATCATCCCAGCCTCGGATCAGGCGACACTTGTTCTGGTAGTTCACCATGTCCAGCTCATAACTTCTCCACACCTCACTGACCTAAGCTCACACAAAAGACAAAAAAAATTCAAATGAATTCTCAGTGTCAAATAACAAATCTCAACATCCTAACACTAATACCGCAAATATTCCACAACTTTTGTTTGTTCTCCAGTTTCTCAACTATCAAAACCAATGCACTTGTCACCTCAAAAAAATCACATTGAAAAAAAATGTCAATATCGCACAAAAAAGGCGCAGGTCCTTAAATACAATAAAAATGGGACTGACTATTAACATTTCCAGAAATCCCCGACAGTCCATATAAAAAATTTCTTGGAAAAGCTTCTTCATCAGTATCCTTTACCGTAATCCAAAAACATATCATTTTAGAGTCCAAAAACATTTCATATTTCAACAGTCAAAGATATGAGAGGCAGTTTGCACTCTCTTGTTACCAATCCAATAGCTGCTTGCTTTTCAATTTTTTTTCATTGAAGTCATATTGAGGCAGATGTCAACAGTCAATTGTGTCATAGAACAAGTGGCAGTTGCACAGGAGGAGACAGAAAGTTGTGTCTTACAACATTATTTAAGTGGAAAGGACACCCCCGCCCCCCCCGCCCCCCCCCCCTTTATGTTTAAAAAAAAAAGGGCCTTTCCCCCGGGGGGAAAAAAAAATTTTTTTTTCCCCCCTTTTTTAAGGGGAAAGGGACCCCCCCCCCCCCCCCCCCCCCCCCCCCCACATATCTAAGAAACATCATGCAGTATGACAAATAAAAAAAACACAAACACCTAACAAATCAAAACAAGTAAAGGAAAAGCTGCTTCCAGCTAACCTGTTTCAAAAACTCTTCCAGAGCCATTTCTCCCTGAGCCACGCTGATGACGTCCCTGATGGTGGGCTCATGCCGGACAAAGTCAATGTCCCAGATGTGGCCGAGGGTCAGCTCAGACAACACCCAGTTCACCCTCAGCCGCTTCATCAGCTGCTTCCAGTGACGCTCCTTCAGGGCCTCCGACTTCAGTTCCACAATCAGCACATTCACCTGATCAATTCAAAAGTAGGAAAAGGGACTGAATTGTAATGAATATAGCATAAACTAAATATCTAAGCAGAGCCCCTATAAAAATACAACATTAAAATCTTCCTTCTATTCATGCAGTCTAACGCAAACACTTTTTCTCAGTTTCAGGAAGCAATTCGCTATTTACATCACTCATCAAAATAATTTTACCAAAAAATTACAAGATACACACGGAAATATAAATAAATACCAGTCTTGTTCTTAATTCATTAAATCATTTTTCCATTCCACTTTTTTCATGATACTGACCTTGGCATAGCCTTGCAGTTGTTTCTTGACATACTCAAAGGAGGAGTAGGCTCTCAGTCTTGCAGGCAGTTCCTTCATTTGGTTCAGCAAACCGTCAATTGACTGACGCAGCTGTAAAGGGAAAAATACACAAGGAATAGTTAATGATTATTCATGTAAAATATTTAACACACTTGTAAGATATAAATATAAAACAAATCTTCCCTCTGACCAAAGATATTTGCATATTTTTAGCAATTTATATGCAAATGAAATAAACAGAGATGCTTGGTCAACTAATAAGTTAGCACAAGAAGAAAAAAAATTACCTCACATCAAATAATCGTGCAAAAAGCGTTTCACTTTTGATGTCAAGGGATTTTTTAGGAGCCATCTTACCGAAGGAAGGAAATTTAAGCTACTTTCTTGCATATTTTTTCTATGAATTTGATACCCCATTAGACAAATTAGTCATTTCATGGCTGTGCTTCTGGTCAGCTGTAGCGTAAGCAGTGTGGAGCCCAACAAAAGATAGTGGAAATAACATGGCTATCCTACTCACTTTTTTTTAACCTGCTATAGAAATCTTAGCACTTTCCACTAAGCTTTGAAGGTCAGTGGAAATCATTTAGCAGGCCCTTTGAGCCTGGGAGCCAAGACTTGAACACACAGGTTCTAGGAGATCAAACAGAGTTTTATGCAGCTTTTTAAAAAGCATTGTGCTTTCCATGGAAAAATAAATTGTGCATCTTTTCCCTTACCTTTCTCGGAGCCACAGAGAGCCAGGGTTTCTCCTTCAGCTCATCGATCTGCTCCCAGACCTTGCACAACTCTTGCCACACGCCCTTCAAGTCCTGCAGCTCTTCCAAACCAACCTGCATGCGTTCATGGCTGGGGCTGACATGACCTGATTAACCAGGGGAGAGAAAAGCACATTTGTGTTACAGAGACTATAAAACATCTTTTTTTTAAAAATTGTCATACACAACATACCGTGATGGATTCCAGAGAGTTAACATTTCCTCCTTGCCTAAATTTTCTCATCATTGATAAAGAAAGCAATCTACGATCAACAACATTTATTCACTACATGCCTTTGATGACAGGTTGTGGTCTTTAAAATTAGCAGGAAAGTCAGTACTTTTCAAGTCATTTTGTAAAAATCAAATAAGTCACCCTTTGTTTCCCTCAACTTTTTTAGATGAAAAGAATGAAAAACTAACAAGGATATCCTGATTACTTCAAAAGCATTAACAAGGTGAGCTCACCTGGTTCAGCAAGTTCAAGGGCTTCTTTGGCTCTGGAGACATTGTCTCTCTCCTCTTTCAGTCTGCCAAATTTGCCCTCAAAGATGGTAAGGGCTTTGAGAGCCTGATCAGGTCTCATCTCACCCTGAAATAGAATAGAGTAGAAAAGGTCATCAAGTGCAGAACATACCACAATAACTATGGAATTTTTTAAACTTTAAAAAAGTTTTAGTAAGTGTTTTACGGCACTTGCAACACAATAAGATCATATGAGTGCCGAAGATTAGAGGTGTTACAAGAGAGTAACAAACACAAAAAAGAAGGAGGAAAGATAAGGACGATAGATGTTTGATGAAAGAAGAAGCAAACCACACGAGAGCACCCGCCAACCACCCACTTTAAAACTTTCTGAGAACACATATTACATTTCTCTACTTCAAATTTTACCATTATTATAGCACTATTCATTACACAAACTTTTAGACTGAAGGATTAATACATCCATAAATGGTACAGGATTTATTAGAGCTTGAAAAACTAGAAGGGAAATTTTTAGCTAAAGTTCAAATAGTTCATACAGCCATCCATTGTCGAGGAGAAAAGTAAAATATCTTAGACATCTGGACATCTTAGGCCTACAGCACCATTATAAGGTTTTTAAAAAAGCAACGCAGGGAATGGGAAGTGGTCTTATTTATCAATTTACATTCACTTGGGGGAGGGAAGATAACGTAATTATGCATTTTACAGGTTAACTACCCATATATTCAGCAAGATATGATAAACTTACAGCAACTGGCTTCTCCTTTTCCCATTCCTGAAGCAGGGTGGCTGTTTTGTTCTCCACCAGAGTGTCCTCAGAGGCAATCTTCATCTGCAAGCTGGCCACACGAGTCTGAATGGAAGAGTCTTTGCGCTTCATGATGTCAGAGAAAGCTCCCCACTCGCCCTCAATGTTGTCAATGTACAGCCAGTTGGATGGGAACTGGAACCTCTGTCTCTCCAGGATACGTTGACCCTCCTTGTATGTCTAAAATGCATGACGAGAACATCTACAAATGTAAATACCGAATAAAATTTTATTGTATTTAGGGGTACATGTACTCTTCTTATATCACATTATATACATTGAAGGATGAACAAATACTAAGAGGATTTTTTGTGAGTCCTATAGCGGGTTTCAAATTCTAAAAATACAGTTACCTGATTGGAAGCGACACTTTCCCAAAGTCATGTAAACAACCAGTAACATGACAGTCAACAGACTAAGTTTTTTTGGCCCTCCACATAATTTACTAAATAACACAAATCATACAGTGTTATTCGGTTGAGTATTTTTATTGCTCAGACTTTGCTCATAGTTCTTTGTTCTTTTAAGAGACAACATCAAAGAAATCTACATCTCAAAAGTTAGATAAATTATTTGTAAAAGAAAAGAGAAGTAAGCAAACAACAAGAACCAGATAACTTCGGCATCCAGTATTCTGCCTGACAAGTGCACTCACCAGCAACAGAACTATGTCTTTCGACAAAAAAATGTCAACAGACCACCAGCTGCCATCAACATAGAGAGAAAAGACTATCTCACCTCCACCTGTTTCTCCCAGGACTTGACCTTCCTCTTCAGGGACTGCACGTGCGTGATGAGGCCAACTGCCTCGGACGTGTTGGCTGTGTCGATGGACTGAGACTCTAGGTCAGAGCGGGACTGTGGGGGTATTCACAAAACAGCATCAGTTCACCACCCTTGATGGAGCACATAAACCATATTATCAATGTAAAGACTTTTACAAATCTTTTGAGAAGATTATTTAATTCGAGAACACCCTGCAAAGTAAATCCTCCAGAATATAACTGGCTTGAAAGAAAGAGCTATTCTGAGCTAATTCTTTCACTACTTTCACTTTGGGAGTTGCCATCACATATTCTGCTCAGTTTTCTACCACGTTATGTTGAAGACGAAGCCAGATGTTTGACCCTGGATCATATTAATGCAAAACTAGCCAGTCTGTATGTAGTCAAATCTGTACACTCAATATTTTTTTTCTTACCACAAAGAAAAGTACCCAGGGTGCGTTAGGGAACTCCAGTACACAATTCTCACCAACAACAATAATTGTAATCATAGCCCAGTGCACATCAAAATAGCACATCTCCCACAGCGCATTACTCACCTTTGACACCTGAGCATGAAACTCGGTCATCTCATTGCTGAGAAGTCCGCCAAACTTGCCCAAGACGTCTTTGTGCCAGGAGTCATACTTCAGTGAGACCTTCGACTGAACCTGTCAAACGACAATAAATAAAATATGTCTACACATTCAACAGGTACTCAAACATTGATCGCACATTTTCTAAAAATCATTTCAAACTTTGGAACAACAGAATATCTTTCTGCTTTATCAAAGAAAATCTTATCATTCTGAAAACTAAAAGATGATCTGACTGAATTTGTCCAAATTACCGTCTAACAAACCAAACTAACCTTGCCAAACTGCACAATGAGAGGTCCTATCTCTTTCTGGGTTTCAGACGTGTCAAAAGTCTTGCGAGAAGATCTGAAACAAAGAGCACAAATTTAGTGAATTCATGAGACAAAGTAAATACTCCGTCCACATACAATATTTCACATTTACCGTACCTGCACTTGAACAGAAGCATGGAGACTACAAAACTAGTCAAAGACAGCACAATTTCTCTACCGAAATAGATCTGGTATGGAACGTCTTACACACAAAACCAGTGGTATTTTCAGTTCTTCATTAAGTTCAGGATCTGTTTTAACTTTCTTATACAATGGTAATGTAGTGTTATATATCTGACAATCAGTTCCAAATGTACACTGCTTACACTTAAACCTCAGAATTCAAAATTTCATAATTCAGGATTTTCAACTCAAATGCATGAAAACTAAACTTACTTGATGTCTTCCAGTGTCTTCATCCACTTGACCAAGTTGTTGCCTAGGCGACTGTACAGCACATCGGGATTCAAATCCCACAAGGACTGGTAGCGCAGCCACACCTGACAAATTTCAACAAAAAAAGATCCTTTGTAAACACCTCACACATTACATACCAAGAAAACTAAGAAGATGAAAAAACAAGCAATATTTTTAACACAATCTTACACTCCATTAGATACAAACAAGTCATTTCAAGGCATACATTTGAATGTGTCTGTGCAATTATAAAAATATCTTTTTTTTTTTTTCTTTCTAAAGCAGCTTGATTAGTCTACCTTCCATCCCATGTAATAAAACCTAGAAAAGGAAAAAAAAAATGTTGAGTCAAGTGTAGCTTACATTGACATATTTGCAGAACTCTTCCACAGTCTTCTGAATGGCTGAGTAGGCATTTTCCAGAACAATGGGTCCATCCGGCAGTTTTGTCAGCACACTGCGGTAGGTGATCTCAGCCTCCGACTCCGACTGAAGGCCAACCTGTGAGAGAACAACAAGTTTGATCATGTACATGCTTAAAATAATATGAACAAGTCTTTTGTGTTAAGACTTATCACCTTTGTATCATAAATAATACCCCTTTTACTCAGGCCATTTGTTTTCTGTTCAAGGCAGTAAGAAAGTTGACTTCTGAATACTCCAATCTCCCAACTTTCTTTCCCAAAGAATAAAAAAGGAGTATTCAAATCCAAATGTAACTCTTATTGGAAATCCGCCCTTCCTTCAATCAAAAGCATACCCTGAGCTAACCCTGACAATTCAGATCTTAAACGGTTAACACTAACAACTACACTCTCCTTCATTGGCAAGGCTCTGGTAATGAAGACTTACCTGGTACCTCGAGTGTTGGATGCGAGGCAAGCTTGTGACGACTGCCTCCCAGGCAAAAAGTTCTTGCAGAATTTTGAACTGTGCATCTTCAGTGGGAGGGCTGACGTACATCAGCTGATTGGTGATTCTCAGCTCATGGACCAAGCTCTGGAAGTCAATAAGAAAATAATTACATTTAGGATGACATCAATATCTCCTTCATCATTCCTCCATGGAAATGAAATATGTACACACCAGGTTCATACATTTTGCAAACTGATAAGTAATATTCTGTCTAACAAAAGTCAAGGTTTTATTTTAAACCTCACAACAACAAAGTTCAAGACCTGCTTGCTTTCATTCCAAGAGTGATTTTATTTTTTGAATAACTGAAAAACCCGTCATTTTTTTTACTTCTCTGTAACACAGTCTCAGATATATATATATATATATATATATATATATATATATATATAATCTTTAAAAACCTAAAAGACAAGCATGTTCAGAAAAGACAATAGAGTACATCATAATTTCAGAGACTCTAGCCCAAAGATTTCATCCTCACATGCTGAACAAAGTGATGATGAACTCACCACAAAAATGTTCTTTATGAAAAAAAATAAACATGACTAAAATTACATTAAATAACTAGGTACTTGTGTCTAAATCATTATCCTCCCAAAAAGCAAAGGTGTTTTTTCTAAAACAAAACAAACAAAACAAACAAAAAAGTGCACCTTGATCTTTGGATCTCCCCCAGCCTTGTGAGCAGGTTGTTTCGGCTCATCATCAGTGTCCATTGAGTGGTCAACTGTGCTCTCCTTCTTGCCCAGCAGGGTCTGAGTCCAAGCTTTCAAACCTGCCTCCAGACGACTGGCCAACTTCTTCTCTACCTGTGAAGGGAAGAACATTTTAAAAAGTGAGACGTGTTAATTAGGTCACACAAAAGGATGACAATGAAAACATTGAAAACGCAGTCAGACTTTCAAACTGCACATAAATGCTAGTCAAACAACCAATTTTTTTAAAGACTTTTTTTTTAAAAAGGGGGTGAGACAACAATAAAACAGTACACATAAAATAATGGTACATTATATACAAAGGAAAAGTATAACAATATACTCATGAGCTTACACATCATATATTATTAGAAATTTAACACATTACACCCTAACTCGCCCGGGATCGCCCGCGAATTCCCTTACGCGTTCCACCCTGACTCGCCCGGAACTGCCCGCGCCCACCTAGCATCTTTAGAAACGAAGTCTCGTTGGGGCCGGGATTTTGATTTGCATAGTTATTGCAAAAAGTTTCTTCTTTCGTTTGATACTGAAATGAAATTTTTCGGGCCAGTAGTTTTAGTATTAGAGCTGATCGAAGTGCGATTGCGTTACCGACACTTCGAAAGTGTCTCGACTTGTTGAAAAGCGACACAGTTGAGTTCAAAAACTGAAAAAACAATGGATTTGAGCAAAAACAAGCATATGACAAATCAGATATGGCTCAGATTTTGATGAAAACGTTGTTGCAAGAGTTTGGGGCGATTCAGATTGATCAGACGGAGAAAATCTAGAATTTAGATCTAGGGCCCGACCGCGAGGCTGAGAGTGAGAGTGACGGGTCGGACACCCCGATTGAACTAAAGTTACAACATTTCCAACAGTTTGCGCATACATAAAGTTATATTTTTCTGAAACTACATTCAGTTTTCTTTTTCACTTTTATTTTTTCAGGAATTTTGAAATTTGTTTTGTATTTTTAAAATGTGTTTTTTTAAACGCTTGTATTCACGGGAGGTGGGTTCCTTCCACTTGCTTAGGATCTAACAATGGACTTCCCGTCCAGGCCCTTAGGGTGTAATGTGTTAAGGAGAGGAAAGAACCTTGTTAAACGAGAAACTCACCTCAGCATCCAGATGGGCGACCCATTGGGGCAGGTTGGAGTAAGAACGCAGACTGAGATTGTCCACAGCCTTCTGGACCTTGGCCAGAATCTCACGGAAAGTGCCGGCGTTGTACCCACAGGTCTCCAGAGCTCGCACTTCCACCTCTATTTCTTCCTCCATTGACAGGAGATCGTCAACCTGGAATAGATTAAAAACATGTGATCATTCAGGGAAATCTGAGTTTGAGAAAGTCTTCTGAGGCACAAGCAACACAAATAGGTCATATAAGAGCAGAAAAGAAAAAGTGTTACTATAAAGTAACATACAAAGAATAGGAGTCGAAACAAGGATGACAGATGATAGGCAAAAAAAGGATCAATGCATTCATACAAATCAGATGAACATGTACAAAAAGACTTGCCAGTGACACCATTCATTGCTATTGATTAGAAGTTTTAAGCTTATAGGACACGTTTTCATATACAATACATGCAAAAAATCATATTAACTGCTGCATGTTCAGAAAAATAGTGAAATGCATCACAGAATCAGAGACTCTAGCCTTGGGTATCATCACTACAAGCAGTAAGCATTCTTTAAAAAACCAAAGCTGCCAGGTCAATCATTGCTGCACTAAACACTGACAAAGATCAGACCAAATCAGACAGCAATGGAACATTCTAAGAATTGGCTATGGTCAAGGGACAAAATACCACTGCTGTCTCCTTAGGTCCAAACAAACCATCAGCAGAGTAGAGGCACATTAAAATCCAACAATACAGTGACCAGTAAAGCAAATGACTATCCATCAAATGACTACTGAACCAGTACAGAAATGCAACATGCATTTTCCAACTGTCCACAAGAAAAACATTTAATATCTGTAATTTTCAGCAAAAGTATTAAAACTGAAATGGAAGGTTTCTTTCACATGTGGTTTAGCAAAAAAACCCCAAAAAAAACAGAAAAGAAAAGAAAAAAAATTCCTCATTCAAATTCAAGTCCTTCATACACAAAATAAAAGTCTATCAATTTGATGAAGGAGAAAAAGACCTTTTCTTGGAAGTTGATGACAGTGTCTGCAAGCCTCTGCACATATGGGTCCAGCTTGTAGGACTCCCACTGCAGGCCACAGCCTTCTGCGATGAGGCCTTGGACCTCTTTGCGGAGACCAGCAATCAGCAGCTTCAAAGACTCTTTGTGCTCAATCTGTCAAAGAAAAAAGAAACAACATCTCATGTATTCCACATCTAAGGTGTTTCATTGAAGTGGGGAACTTTATCAAAGTGACCAGAGATTTAGCTGAAAACATAATACCTGCCCATATATATGAAACTACAGCCAGCACTGTATTTTAATACCAATAAATACCGCATAGTCTCCAAGATATACAAAGGATGCAGAACTTTAATTTTCTCGTTTTATATCCAGTTGTGACTGCAAAAATACAGTGATGATTAATTTTCTGTGAACTTTAGCGCACCGCTTTTTAGAAATGAAAGGCTACTTAAAAGTGCATTTCGGTTTTAGATTTTTACCTTCTTCAGAGTCTTGTCGTAAGACTGCACACTTTCCATCAGAGAGATAGCAAATGGGTACAGCTGGTTTGCCTGATGGGCCTTGTTCACATTGGCGAGTGGAACACGGAAGCCAAGCCATCTCAGGTTGCGCACCTAGAAAAAAGAAATACCATCTCATTAATATTCATCCCTAAAAAGAAAAAAAATTAGAAAAATTTAAAATGTAAATTTTTAAAAATAAGAAAATAACCATGAATGAGAATTTGTTTTAGTAGATGTTTTACAGCGCCCGCAACTGCATAAGGTCATATGGGCGCTTGAATGAGAATCCAAACAAACCATCTCTGCTTAGAGTGAAGTCTTAAACTTGAACAAAAACAAAACAGTAAAACGACAAAAAACATAATAAAAGTTTCCCAAATCAATACATGAAACGTAGACAGGGGTCACTACTACAATCTGTAATACTGTTTCCATTTTAACTCAAGGTCAAAGGAGATGAAAACATAGGTGCATACATTTAAAACGGTCCAAACATTGCACAGACTCTTCCATGACAGCGCCTTTGTATGATAAGAAAATACTGCTGTAGAATATGGAAGTCGGACTAGTAATCTTAAGGAATACGGTGATTTTGTTTGACACAATAACTGTCATTTAGTATAGCGGAAAACAAAAGCACAAAGACAGACGCACTGGAGTGAGGGGCGGGTTTTGAACCTACCAATAGTGCTCTCTCCTACTATCAAAACATGACATGTTTTCCATATTTCTTCCATTTCTACAGCTAACAAGTAAAAGCTAGAAAAATCGGGTTTCACTATAAAAACCCTGTGTTCACAACCATAACAGCTCCCACGCTCAGGCTTTGTGATCAATTATAAAACCCTTACGGCGACCTCATCCTTATCCATGTACCTCCTCTTTTATTTAATTGACAATCAATAAACAGCGGGAAAGAACAATTGAAGCTACAGAGTTGTGATTCATAAGACACATGCTGGGTATCCCATAGACAGCTAGAAAAACACAGACAACAGCTTATGACGAATATACAAAAGCGACAGGCAAATTTCATTGGACACACAATGCGGAAAAAATATTGTAACAACAGGCAAGTTTGATGGAAAGAGAGGCAGAGGCAGACAGAGGGAAAAGATACTGGACAAGTTGACAACATGGCTGGGCCCAGCAAGAACAACAGAGACCATTGCTGGAACGCAAGACAAGAGTGAAGGTCCATGATCGCCTACGCCAGTCGGAAAGGCACCGGATGATGATGATTACCTCTTTGGACAGTTGGATGATTTCTCTCTGGAAGTTGACCCCAAGCTTCAAAATGTTGCCTTTGTTGGGTACACGGACACTGGTGATGGTGTAGATCTTACCCTGAACTGTCAATTGCTTGTTCTGAACCTATAAAAAGAGTGACACATTTTAAAAATGAACTAATTTATAATCTAACTACTTTTGTAGCTGGATACAAATAAATGATACAGTATTTCCTAGTTAAGCGAATTAGAGCTTAGGACTTCTAATGAATAAACAGAAAACATATTAGCCGATAGCATTCAAAACAACCTTTGAATATGACCATTATTCAAAGTTGAACCTCATCTACACAAAAACTACAAATTTCTACATGTAATCAGACTTGGAAGTTTTTGATAAATAAAAAAAAAGAGCTCTTGCAACACATGGAAAGCTCTAACATGCACCAGGAAATACACTACCACAACAATAATGCACAAACAAGAATTCGAAGAAGCAACTACATTACAGCCCCCACCATCCTGTGTCAACACATAGCTTAGGCCTTACTAGACTTAGACACTTAAGGTCAGTCACCTAGAGCATATTACAAGTAAATTACCAACCCACCTTTCCGGTCCATTCATCAAAGAGCTCCTGTGTGTTGAGCTTCATCTTGAAACTGTCTCCATCTGCCTTCAGCTTCTGTCCATCCACATGGTTCTCCCAGCCCTTGCCAAGGACATCCTCCACACGCCGCATGTAGGCATTCAGCTGCCTCTCAATCTGTATCACAGGAATTTGTTCCAATGAACTTAGTTAAATTGTTCAAGACGACCACCCATTGTCAAGTAAAAATGTGGCTGTGTTTATATCTTGTACAGTGTCATGATATTAAAAATCGTGAGAGCGGAAGTGAGAAGTGGCTGTTTGTACAGGTTATTGTCTTGGACAGGTGGCCATAGGAGCAGGTCCCTTGTACTTCTACTTCTCTTTTCATCTGGGATTACAACATAATTTGTTGCAGTAATAGTACTTCTTCTGATCTATTTAATTCTGATCAAATAATTTGTTCAACTAAATCCACTTCTGATATTCTATTCAAACGTAACAACAATGTAATATGTTCACTATCTTCTATAATTTAATAATATCTTAAAATGAACATTGCTACGGACTTTGAACAGGACACACATCAGATGACTCATACCAGTGCACATTCACAACAATGATGAAGGACATGAAAGTCCAAGACACACCAAAAAGTTTGCTGTCCCTTTATGCATATATTTCAAAGACAGTGTTATGATGATCCTGAATATCTTCCACTTACTTAACCAAGCAGGGGAAAATTTTCAATTCTCATGTGAAGAAGACTGCCATTATTCGGTAACAGAATCATAAACACCTCTACCATTTTCACTGACAATAAATTAACACTTCTGGGGTTGACTATTATAAAAACACACAAACATGGGAATTTCTGTTTAGAATTTACAGTTTTTTTACATGTCTTGTAAAATTCTTACACAAAAGAGAGAAAATGTTTGAAAATGTTCAACTATAAATAAACATACTTCTAACAATATAGCCTGCTACTCACCTGTCTCGCCCAGATGATGGAACCAGACACTGGTGGGAAGTCCCTCGCTTTGCTCATGTGGCAGGCTTGATTCTGGGAATATTGTACCTGGGGAAAAACACAAACCATATAAAAATTCTATTTCTAGAGCTGTTTAATAAGGAGAAATTGATTCTTTCAATATAGCAAAGCTATTCATTTCACCAACACATTAGAGAAAACTTTTTGCTTTGAATATACAAAACTGACAACAGTACGAGGACTAAATCTGGTACCCCTGATTACAAAACTGCTCCAAATAAAAGTTTTCAGTTTGATATGAGTGCATATTCAGAGGAAAAATGATTGAGTGCATCATAAATTCAGAGACTCTAGCCCAGAATTTTCATCACCATATGCAGCAATATCAGCAGGAGCAGGAGACAAGACGAGTTAAACCACATTGTGTACATACATTGTATGCCTTTCAAAAGAGAAAAATTAATCATTAAAATGAAGAGAAAACAGCACTTAAAAAGATCCTTCAACAATTTAACACAGTTATCTTCCATGTCAGATGAGTGCCTTTAAACAGTCTTTCTGAGCTATCCATTTCATCTCCATATAAATTACCCAAAATAGTCCCTATTTGAATAAAAAGATACAGAAAAGTAATAAAAACACAGAGTCCATTCAGTACAAGGAAAGTCAGCACCAGACTGAAATAATAAAGAGAGTATTCAAAGTATGACCTCTAAAGAGACTAAAAAAATACTTCTAATCAAAACTAGGAGGATAACAACTGCATATTATTTTAAGTCTGCTTTTGTGCTGCATGTTCAGAAATAAGTTATGATATGCATCACGGATTCAGAGACTCTAGCCCAAGTTTTCATCATAACACACAGCAAACTTTTCTTTAAATTGATGTAAGCATCGCAATCACACAGTCATTCACTTCAGTGAATTATTCTAAAATAACAGTAGGCCTATATAAATATACTCGGCGTGAAAGTTGACAAGCTAGGCCATATCTACAAGTACCAGCCAGTGCAAACCTACGTCAGTTAAGTTTGGGTAAAGAGGAGTATTTCGACTCAAAAATAGCCAATTTTTTGTTGAGGAAAAGCAAGATAGACTGAAACAATAGATGAGAGAAAAACAGAAGACATACAACAGACAAGAAGTGCCCTCTTACAACTCATAAACTAATAACAAAAAGAGTTTCATACTATTATGCTAATTACAGTGCATAAATAAATTTTCTAAAAATATAATCAAATCCCTTTTAAAACCAAATTCATTTTAATTAACCCCATGCCTTTTACTATCTTGAAAATTCTAGAAAAGAAAGGCAGTAAATTATTAACATTAACATGGGTCAAGAAAACAGAGTCAGCAAAATGAAAAGAAATTCGCTGAGACAACCTAGAAACTTCAAACAAAGGAAAAAAAATAATGCGTAGGTGAATATATTCCTTCCCCCTTCTTCCCATACTTTCTTCGTCAAAGGGTGAGTAAAAAAAAGTGCATTTAATTTAACTAGTGTAGTTCTACAACACGATCAACTGAATATTCTGGAGACCACAACAACTTTTGTAGAGCATGTTCAGAAAAGGAAATAGAGTACATCAGAATTTCAGAGACTCTAGCCCAAAGATTTCATCCTTACATGCTGAATAAGAGCTACGATACCTGTCAAAAATTATTTTACGCTGCTGCAACTGGAGTGTGGGACAGGAAACTAGACAGACGGGCAATTACTCAATGGTCAAAAACAGAGACAAGAAGAAGAGAATGCTGAAACTTTCAGTTTGGTTTTTTTTTATTAGTTTCAGTGAGTTTTAAAGCACTTGTAAATACATTAATGTCATAGAAGTGCCAAGGATTAGAGGTGTTACAAGAGAGTGACAGTCTGGCACTGACTTTCCTTCCACTGAATCAACTTAAGGCTTCTATTACTGTTCTGTATGATTTTATACATATAGGTACCTTAAGTATGAAGATACTTGGAAACACAAAATGTATAAAAACATGGGAGATGCCTCAGCATGGATAAGATTTGAAGGCAATTTTATTAAATGCAGCAAAAGTCACTACTTCAAAAATAAAGAAATTTGTTCTTTTACATCAAGCACCAGTTCCTTTCGCATTTGTATATTTCATTGGGTGATTGTTATTAATATAGACGGCAAAGATTGCTTTTTCACTTGTCTCCAGAAACTTATTATCAAAAGACAAATTACATTGATATAGTAAAGGGAACTTCTTGTATTATAAACTTAGGACGGATGAGATCGGACTATCACATACAAAAATACAAATGAATCTTTCCAATTCTTTTCAAACATTCAATCGCATCACTTTGCCATGAAAAGAATATAAGAAGGAAAATTCTTCACCTTTACAGAAAGGTCTAGTTTAACCTTATGAACACATCCGTTAGCATGCTCAGAACAGACGAAACTGTACATCATGATGTCAGAGACTCTAGCCCAAATTTTCATCCTCGCATGCCCAACAATAAAAAATTTAAAAAAGAACATATTTAGCATTATTGGATTAAAAGTTTTGGCTCGGTTTTTCACAATCTCCTAAAACGTTCCCAATCCAACTGATAATCCACACAATTAGGACCTAAATCCTTACAAGAAATCAGAAACTATCAGAACAACAATGACTGATAAATAAAAAATTGCTCAACAACAAGACCAGATGAAACTCAGTTCTGGAAAAAAAAAAAAGAATTCATTTCCATAGTTACCTTGAACTTCTCATGCAGAGACTCAATGTCATCTTTGACCCTCTGTATGAGCTGCGTCTGGTACTCCCTGATGGCTCCTCGGATGTGAGGGCGCACAAACAGAGCGTTGAAGCGAGAAAAGATGCGGAACATCTCATTCGCGTTGCGAGCCGTGCCCAGTTGATCCCTCAGTCTGGCGGTGATCCTTGTCTCCACTCTGTCAATACGCTCCTCGTACCTATGGCGAGATATGATAGGATGCTATTGCTGACAATAATTATTTATAGCAAGACACCAGAGCCATTTCAACAAAAACAGATTGGGATAATGGTGACCACAAGAAGTGGCAGCAACACACAACAATGTCAGTTGCGAGCGCCGTAAAACTTCTATTAAAAAAAAAAAAAAACAATGTCAAAGTTTATAAAAACCAAGATTGCTCCCAGAATACCAGTAGCTCATGAAGATTACACATAAACCCCAAAAAGCTGATAGAAAAGAACATATATTCTTTATAAAAACATTTATATAATCCTCGAAAACAATGTTCAAGAAAATATAAAAGAGACCATAATTTCAGCACATACCAATTTAACCCAAAGACAAATGTAATCTACCTACAAAATTTAGAGAAATCTAACCTTGATTCAGATATTTTCTTCTTCAAAATCAAAGGAAATTGATTAATCTTATTATAATGTCAAACAACAACTCAAAATAACAGAAAAGCTTCAAAACAGATCGTGGTAACAAAATCTGTATAGGCAAATACAGTGGAATCCTGTTATAACGAGAGGGATGGGACCGGTGCGAAATGTCCGTTATAGCAGGATTCTCGCTATAATGGATCCAGTAGTAAATTCAACGGAAAGAGTAAAGTAGGCCTAATCTATGAGTTTGGTGTTCTGTTTATTCCTTTTTGTACTTCCCCTAAAGATGATTTTGTTCAAACATGATCTCTAGGTCTGACTTGATCAAAAATCGAATCAGGTTTTTTTCTCTAGCACTAACAATGTTTACAGCTCGGCGTTGGCAATCAAAAAGAAGGGGCTCTGGCTCCAGGCTAACTCGCCCTCTGTGTTGCCCCCCCACCCCACCGCACCTTGTGGTGCGTTGCGTGTGCTTGCGCACGTCACACATTCACTCCATCTATCACAACATTGTGACCTCTCCATCCCGCACCAGAGAAGTGAGAGGGACAGTAGGCCTAGATAATCTAGACTGGGCTGGCCTATATCAGTATCACGCGATGCATTCTGCGTGTCTGCACATGCCACACCTTCCCCACTCATTCGTTCAATTCTTTGTTGGTTCGCGTGGACTCTCCCATTCTTTGTTTCCCTGGATCACAAACAACTTTCTCAACTGGCGATGTTTAATAGGTCTGTGCGCTGTGCACAGCAGCAGCAATATTCCGTTATAACCGACTGGAGTGTTTGTCTGATTGCGCAATAGCAGTATTTTATTTACAAAGATAAAGAAGGGAAAAAACAGGGTTTTAGAATAGTGTCTTTATAACAGACTTCTCGTTGTTTCAGGACTCGTTATAAGTGGACTCCACTGTAATGCCCCATACCTTTTTGTGGCAGCTTCCCAAGACTCGGCACCTTCCTTTGAAACATCAAGAACATCAACCTCTTTGACATTCTCGTAAGCCAAATTTACTTCCTGTGTGAGCAATAGAAGAGCAAAACAATCAGTAAACCATCAGTGACGACACTTTCAGGAATTCCTCTTGGCCTTATCCGCAGCATATGCTGTTAAATAATAAAATCTACATGCACTTGTTCATTGTAACAGAACAGAAAAATTAAAACAACAGAAATTTGTTCTTAGGTGACCGCTGAAATTTTTATGGAAGGAACAGAAATCAAAAGAGGGAGTGCTGAAAGACGCCCGAGTGGGTTGCTACTAACTAATAACAACAATTAGGAAATGACATGCAGTTTTTTCAGATTTTTCAAAAGACATAAAGGCCTTGAAAAGCTTGCTGATACTTGAAAAATAGAAGGTAAAAGAAGCAGGAGTAGACCTGGAATATCTTAATGAGAGAAATAAAACAGTTGGGTGATAGGAAAAGTGCAGAACAATATCGGTTTCTTGAGAGCATGCTGGTAGAGAAATGAGTGGCAAACCATGAACAGCTATGTCTGTTCCGGATCTGACACTTTATGATGAGGAATAGTACAAAAGACATCAAGCTGATGCAGAGCTATTCCGTACACCATAACTTCAATGGAGCTAAAATTATAAAAAATTTCACTCCCAAATGTCAGTTTGCATTTACTAAGACTAAACACTTGTTCCTTTTGAACCTTTGATCTCATCAAGAATGTTGAAAGAATTTGTGTTCACCTCAATGGCATTGGCATCAGCTGCTTCATCAGCCACTGGTTCTCCCTTGACCTCCGGCTCATCATTGCCTGGGGACGAGCCCCTCTTGACCGTCACAGGACGCAGCACTCGGATGATCACCTGACGCAACTGTTCATGTTGACGACGGAACCTGCAAGGGGAAACATCAGCTTAATTACAAATTATACATGATCTAATTTTGAATTGGGCTTTTTTTTTCAGCATTGCATGTCAAATCTTGACATTAAGTTGAACAAAATAATCCTATAGACGCCATGGCATATGAGTGAGAAACCTATAAGCAAACACTGTTCTGCAACAAAAAAAACGTACAAAAGAGACTGTGGCATGTGCATATGAATGAGCATATACATGTATATGTGAGGCAGCGTGGTGGAAGCAGGCTCTCGTCAAAATAATCAAAGTGAAGAAACGCATTTTTCCGCAGGTTTGTGAATTTTTATCAAATTTTTGTTTTCTGGCTCAACACCTTTCATGCCCATTAAAGAACTCATTTCTGTGTGGATTTTTCTGAAAAACGTTGATTAAAGGCATAAAAAATGTAAATGTTCAGTTACAAAAAAAATACGGACTCTTAAGCTAAGGAAAAAACTAATCTTTAGCGGCCATTTTCTCACTAACGTTACCTCTGAAAACAAGTGAGCCCCACCTCCTTCATTTGCAAATATCTCGACTTGTACTCAAGATAAATTGATATTTTTTAAATCCAAATAAAGGCAAGTGAACAAGCTTTAAGATGATACCAATAACTCCACATGCCCAAAAATTGATGAGCGCCCGATTCCACCATGATGCCTCACATATTATATCTAGACATTGAATAAGGCCAACGTGTAATTTTGTTTCCACGTAGACATGTAAATCTATATACGGGGCAAAAGTGCAGGAAGAACAGGGATGAGCTAGGTCTTTGTTTCAAAGAAAGAGAACTAGGCATAGGCAGCAGTTGGGAAATTATTTGGTTCCACAAAATATACAGAAATATGAACAACCCTTACTTTCTCATGTGATCAAGGCGGCCTTGCAGGCGCTTGTGGGCGGGGTTAACCCTCCACACCATTCTCAGATGTTCCTCTCTCTTCTTCTTCACCAAGTCTCTGAGCAAGCCTTGCAGTTTGTCAAACTCATCATCCCAGGAGGAGAACACCTCAAAGGAGGCACCCATCACCTGCAAATGGACAAGAGTAATTCACACAAATACAAAAATGAAACATTTCTAATAATATTTATTAAAAAACTAGCTGGGCCCCCTTTCGATGAAAGGAATGGTCGGTGCATTAACATCATTGGCCAACATGAGGCTAGATCTATACGGTTGCACACTTAAAATAGTGCTCAGTATTGCGCGACAATGCGCGATAGTATCAAACGGAAGTACGACTTGAAATAAACAAACCTGGCGGATTTTCTAAAATGACAGAGACAGAAGCGTCAGCCTACAAAAGCGATCGGCGAAATAAAGAAATTTAGCTTTTGCAGCAAAACTGTCTCAAAACTGAAAAAACGAAGGGTGTCATGATTTGGATATTTTAAAGAATCTTTTGACGAAAACCGAATGCCGATCGTTGCAGCCATTAAAAAGCCTTTTGAATAGCAAAATTCGGCCACCACAAATAGATAATAGAAGAATATCTAATGAAAGATTTATACATACCAAGAATGTTTTTAAATATTTTATACCTGTGCCACACTGAACAGACAATGCCATTTTGTATCAGGAAAAACAAATATTGCACACTTCTACTTGCTTGCCAAAAATAGTGCAGAATTTACTGAATAGTTCAAACATACTAAGTAAGACTTTTTCAATTCATTACAATTCACAAATACTTCCCTTGCGTGTCAGTTCACTAACAAGTGTACTCGCAGGCGTAACTTCAAAATTCTCACCTTTTCAAACTCATCAAAGGGAATATGCATCAGTCTTCTTGTCCCAAGTATCTGAAATACAAAACAAGAAGAAATGATATGAAACCAGACATCCAAAAGAACTTGAACTAAAAAGCGGAGTTCACATTTCCTCAGCTGAAAACAAACACTGACTAGGTATGACAACAGAAGCATGACAACAGAAGCATGACAAAGAAAACAAACTACAAAGACCCTGGTATAATGAATAATCCACTTTGTGTACAAAATCTTACAGCATTCACAAAACAATAACATTAAAATCTTTCACTTTCTCCTCATGATTGCCACGTAAAGGGTATGTAGCTATGAGATCATAGACAACTCACTTCTACTTGGACAGGGATCTTAAACCTGAAGTGTAATAAAGATAAACAAGGCACAATTGTGCACTGAACAATACAATAATCATTGACACTGATTCACGCAATTTCTACTAACCTTCAGCATCTGGGTGCTCAAGTCTCTTGAGATGGCCTCCACCAGCTTGAGTCCTCTTTGAATTGGATACTTTGTGGAGCGAATCTTTCTCAAGTGCAGGAAGATGCTCTGCACAGCCAGTTTGATTTTGTCCAGCTCAGTTGCCGCCAACAAGTCATTGATGGGAAAGTCCTTCATCAGCTGATTGTAGTCATTTACCGTGGCCATTGCTTGCTTGAGGCCTGCATGACACGCCAAATTATATTTCTTGAACTAGAAATACCCAATAATGAGTGTTTCAACAAAAGATGCAAAATGTAATGCAGCTATAACAGAGTTATACCTGTTTTAACAACAAATCTTTAATCTATTAAAATTGAAACATAAAAGTAAAAGCTTAAAAAAAAAAGAAATTTAAAAAAGCAAACATGTAGAGAAAACTGATTTACTCAAACAAAGCATGGCATAATTGAGCTCCTGACTATTTTAACCAAAATTGGCCCCTACAAGTACCTGTGTCCGAGTCAAAGCTGACAGTGGCATGGAAACGTTTCCCATGTTTCAGAATGTCCAGAGTGAGCACAATCTCTGTGCTTTCTCTCTTTTCTTGGATGCGCAGCAGCGCTCTCTCCAGATTGAGCCAAAAGCTGATTTCTTGAAGAGCCGTCCCAGAAGAAGGATCCCGGTCAAGCTTCGTCACCTGAACATTTGGAAGAAACAACAGATTGTGCCTGGTGTACTCAGTGTGGAATGAGGAAAAATGTCTCAACGAGGACATCTATCAACAATAAGCATTTTCAACGAGTTTTTCCCCCCCTAAAATTATTCATTAATTCAAAATATTTACAATTTCATCCTTTTCACTGTTCGATACAAAACTTGAAAAGGGGCGTTTATATATGGCATATTATTTCCAACAACATCACACGCTACGCATAATTTAACACAAACAACTCACCAATTTAATGTTACTTTAATTCTTCCCATCTCTTTAATTTACTGTGACAACAGCAGCAAAGCTGATGTTCTGAACGTCAGAACATGCACCTCACAAATTACAAGGCAACTATCAAAGCATGTTCAATATAAACTTAGGTGATATGATCATACCATTAATTTCATCACATTAACTGCAATTTTCAGGTACTCAAACTTTTCATTTATTTCCTATGGGTCTGAAGATTACTCTACTCTTTCCGTATTCAAATATTTCAATGGAGTAGGAAAAAAACTCTGATAAGTACAAGAGTTATTTTCCTAACTTAATCCAGCTTCCTTACTGAAGTATTTTATCAAGGACAGCAAGTCTTAAAGAGAAACTCACCTTCTGAATTTCTCTGATCCACCTGTTCACACCACTCTGCAGGCTGTTCAAGAACTGAGCATCGTCCACTTTGTCCCCAAACTCTTCAACCTGTTAAAAGGTAATGGCAAAGGGGAATGAAAATAAGCTGTTATAATTTTTCGCAAAACTGATACAAAAATGAAATAAACAACAATAAAAAAAGGGGGAAAAATTGCAACATTCACTCCATACACTTTCATTAACTCTCTCGAGTTCACGCCCTTGTATATCGACCGATACCGATATCGGTCGATGGCCGGTGGGCCCAGAGCGAAGCCGACTGTCGCTATAAAAATTTGCCTAGAGTCTGCTATGTGGTTTATTTCGGTAAAGGAATGGCTAAACTTTTATAAATACACAATTTGTAACTCCTTTTTCGAAAGAGTTAGCCGTTAGAGGTGCCCGGATAATGACCTCA